CTGGAGCAAAGTGATTCAGGTAGTCGGTGTCCTCAAACTGCTGAAGCCTACTTGCCCTGCTTTAACTGAAGTTCCTTGCTCGCCTCAGCCTGCACCATCCTCAACAAATGCCCAGGCCTCAAGCCAGTTCCAGAGAGGTTCATGAATTTTGAGAAAGCCAAGAAACTGGCTACAAGGGTCAGGAGCCAAAATGGCAGCCCCCTCTGGTGCTAAATATAAAAAGCACCTTACGGGGCAACACTTGGGTCCTGACAAGGATGAGTCATGGACTGAACCTGCTTCACTAGTACCATTGGGACTGATACCAAAGCCAGTTTTGGTCTCTGTCTTGGAAAAAAATCTGGAACTCCACCTCCCCCATGAGCTCTGTCTTAGCTACCAGCTCTCCTCCTCACCAACCACTCCCTAATTCTCCCATGTAGCAACTCACCATCGAAGGATCCAAATGCCCAAGATAGCATTTCCAATCTCCACTCTCAGATTTGACTACCTACTCCATCCTTCCAGTGTGCTAGGCATCCTAGGGCCCATGGGACTACCTTCTATACCATGGCCCCTTTTGTGAGCTTTGGTGCAAGCTGACTATCCCTATCCAACTCGGGCACAATACCAATCTGATCTGTTTCACAGACTGCCAACTCCACCTCCTCACCCTCTTTATCCAGCTTCCTCGACCTTCAAACTCCATGGACTCCCCGAGTGCCTTACCTTGTTCATATCACACCATCAATTGGTCTTTTCTGCACCTGTACAATCCAGTCAGTCTTCTCTCAGGGATGGTGATGTCAAGGACTGTGCATTGGATATGGGCACAAATATGTCACCCTCTCCTTATGCAGCTGTTTTCTCCCAGGAACCACTGTCACCTTCACTTGACCTGGGTCACTTCTCCAAGCAGGTTCAGAGATTGGGAACACAGTTACAAATGGAAAGGGTGGCTGATCCTGTAATTGACACTATTCATGCCAAGGATTTGACCTTGGTGGCCAATCCCCTTTCTGTCCACTCTCCTCCAGACCATGCAGCAATCTTGGAAGGCCCTCTTGACAATTCTTGCAACATTGAGAAGACTCAACAGTATGTACAAGGTGCAGGACAAAGACATGGCCTTCCTTTTCCATCATCTCAAGCTGAAGGCCATTATTGTGGAGTCAGCTCAGGGGAAGTCATGTCAGGACCACTTAGGCCCAGTCAGCAGAGAGGGCCACAACCTGGATTCCTTGGGAAGGTGCATTTTCTCTTCTTCAGCTATGGGACTCCAGGTGGCCAATACTAGACCACCATGGCAAGGTACTAACTCTTCCTTTGCAAGAAGTTGGGTGCCCTCTGCAATCACTTGTTGGAGCAGCAAAACACCTTGCCAGGGTGATTCAGACTGAGGCAGTGAGTCTTTCAAGAATTCAGATCAACACCACTTGGCATCAAGTGGATTGTTGGGCCAAGGCCTTGACTGCTCAGAAGACATGCCTGGCTTTGTTCAGTCTTCCACAGGAGACCCACTCCCACATCAAGGACCTTCTCTTTGATGGGAGCAGTCTCTTCATCAAGAAGACCAATGAGCATATGGACAACATCCATAAGGCGAGGAAGATGGGCTTCTAGCAACCACTCCCTGTGTGATCCCATGATCGATATGGCATGCCTTCCACCTCTTTCCAAATCTGCCTGATCTGCCAAACCCAATGAAAGGATGGCGCCCTTAAATACCACAAAGCCCAGAAGCATACTGACCAGACCTGGAGACAGTGTTGACTGCACCCTGGGACAAGGCCCATTTTAACTTTTTTTTAACTTTTCAGATAATTTGTCTCTTCCTCCACGTCTGGGAATCAGTCACATTGGACAAATGGGTGCTGACCTGTGGAACCAGGGAATTGGATCGTATTGAGTACCCTTGCTGGGGTACCATTAGGATTATGTCTGCATTACCCATCCTGCTTGAGGAGATATGGTCCCTTCTCTCCAAGGAAGCCATTGAACCCATGGATGCCCCAACTTTATTATTAGATTATTTTATTTATTAGATTTGTACCCCAGCCTTTTCTTTTATAAAGAATTCAAAGAGACTTAATAATTTGCCTCTTTCTGCTCTCAATCTTATCCCCACAACAACCACCCTGTGAGGTAGGTTGGGCTGAGAGTTGTGACTGGCCCAAAGTCACCCAGTTAGCTCCATGGCCGAACAGGGACCAGAACCCAGATTGCCTGTATCCCAGATCTTAACCACTACACCACACCAGCTATCCAGTTGAATAATGGCTTTTTTCCCTAGATACTTTATGGTACCAAAGTGGGATGGAGAGCTACATCTGATTCTGAATCTCTGTGACCTGAACCTGTTCATCTCATCTAAAAGGTTTAAGATGGTGACATTGCAGATCATTTTAGCACTTCGCCAAAAATGAGACTGGTTTGCATCCATAAATCTCAAGGACACTTATTTCCATATCTCAGTAGAGCATTCCCACTGTCATTTTTTACATTTCCAGATTGGGAGAGAGTTGTACCAGTCTTTAGTTCTGCCCTTCATAAACTTTCCATGGCACAGAGGAACTTCACTAAGTGCATAATAGTCGTGTGTACTTACTTGCATCTACAGGGGATCCAGGTCTATCCATATCTAGCTGACTGGCTTCTCGTAGTGTCCACCAAGACTGATCTTGTCCACACATCCTGCCTTACACAATCTTGGAGTTTGTTTAAATGCTGAAAAATCTCTCCTTTCTCCACCCAGTTGATCCATTTCATTGGGGCACACTAGGCTCCCATCACAGCAGCAGTGTACCTCCCTGAGGCAAAATCCACAGTGACATCAAGATGTCCTCCACGTTTTGTCGATGGCAAATACCAACCATGCTTCAGATCTAGCCACTCCTTGGCCTCATGGCAGCCATTGCTACTGTAGTTCGCCTCACCAGACTTCAAATACATCCCCTGCAATCATCGTTTGACTATACGTACTATTTCATGAATGACTCACAACCACTGCATCTTCAAATTCCAAAGCCTGCACTGATGGATGTAATACAAGAACCTCCTAAAGAGAATTCTTTTCTCCAGAACTGTGACAACTGATGTCCCCTTGCTTGGTCGGGGAGCTCACTGTGGTGCACTGGCAACTCAAGGAACCTGGACCACCCCCAAAACCCTCAAGAAATGTTTGGTGGTGTTCCAAATGTCAGTTCCAAATGTGTTGGTGGTGTTCCAAATGTTCTTCACTGGCCCCCATATCCAGATCACCACAGACAATACCACAGTGGTCTTCTATATTATAAACAAGCCAGGTGGCACCTATTCTATTCCACTGACCCACTTGGCCATCTACATATGGGATTGGTGACTGCCATCCATGTTGCTGGGTCCAGGAACACATTTTTCAACACTCTGAGCAGGAGGGCTCTCAACAGTCACTAGTGGCAGCTGTACCCAATCACCCCCTAAAAGTTCTTTGACACCTGGGGGATACCATACATAGATCTGTTTGCCACTTGGGACAGTGCTGTGCACAGCAGCAGCAGCAGCAGCTTCTCTTGGGTAGAACAGGGCAGAGGCTCTCTGGGAGAAGCATTCCTGCTGAGTGGGACAGGGACCTTTTTCTATCTTCTGCTTCCTGCTGATGAAGGTGCTAGCAAAGGTTTGTTGGGATGCTACCAACTGCGTCCTTATGATGCTATGGTGGCCAAGGCCACCAGGGCTTGCTCACCTCCTGAGGATGCCAGCTCAGACCTATATCAAGCTTCCATTGCACCCAAGCCAAATCTCTCAGAGTCACGACAGTTTTCTCCAGCTGGACATCAGCACCCTTATGCCTCACAGCAGCTGAACTTCAGTTTAAACTTTTCTATAATAAAATCTTACACAGCTAAATAGAAAGCTTTTACCACTTTTGCATCCAGGGAAAATTTGGATTTCCCCCTCAGCCAGACAAGTTCTTCTATTTTTAAATACAGTTTTCCGAAGGGTACTAAAGACTATCTGCGTTTATTTTGTGGCAATCTCCTCCTTCCACAACCCTGTACATGGTTCACTGGTTTTCTCTTACCCTGCGAGGACTGGGAAACATCATCCTGCCCGTACAGTCTTTTGCACTGAACTGGAGCCTCTCTTTGGTTCTTCAGGCACTGATGAGAAAACCATTCAGACCTCTAGCAAGGGTCAGTCTTATATATCCTGTCATGGGTGGTGGCTTTCCTTGTTGTTATCACCTCTGCTCACTGGTCCAGTGATCTGTGCACTTTACAGGTGGATCCTCCATGCCTTGTCTTCCACAAAGTTAATGTGGTGCTGCGCCCCAACCCTTGCGTCCTTCCAAAGTGTCTCTCTTCATATGAGCCAGGACATTACTTTACCCACCTTTTCCCCTTCCCCATCCAATCTAATGGAATTGAAGCCATATACCCTGGAGATGCATAGAACACTGACATTCTACTGCTCCAGGACCAAATCTTTCAACCAATTACAGAGGCTTTTTATCTGCTTTGGGGGCAGTAAAAAGGACTTAAATCTCATCTGAGAGGCTTAAAACTTGGGTCAGACAAGCAATCTGTCCTATAAATACCAGCACCCACAGGGTGCATTCCACCAGGACAGTGGTGATGGCAACAGCAACTGCAACTTTGACAGCTCTCCATGCTGAGATCCCCCTACCTGACCTATGCAGTGCTGCTACCTGGTGAATTCCTTCAACCTTGATTAGGTGCTACAGGCTCAATGTCCATGCCAAATCTGACTGTGTCTTTTCGAGAACAGTCTTCTGTTCCATGGTAATAATATCTTCCCTCCATCCATATCAAGGTAAGCTTGCTAGTTGCTCATGTGTGCGATGCAGAGACCACAACGAAGAAAATCAGGTTGCTTACCTATAACTGATGCTCTTTGTGTGGTCAGTTGTGCACAACTCACCCACTGATTCCACTTGGTGTCATACTGTTATTTTTGTTACTATAGTGTTCTCTCTCAGTTTGCTTTTCCTTCTGACTAATATCTGTTGATTTTATCAGGATCAAGGTCAGTCCTGGAAGTGCTCCCTCAGTTCTGAGGCCATCCAGGTGGTCTCAAAGAAATGAGGAAGTGGACTGGAACTCCTCCCTTTTGTACTGGGATGAACAGGATGCTCCATGCAGGTGCAGACTCCATGTGTGTGAATACGCTGATGACCACTTAAAGAACGACAGTTTCAGGTAGCAACCTGACTTTTTTGTCAGGAAGGGAGAAAATGAGAGAGGATGGAGACAAAGGGATGCATATTGCTTCCAATTGCTTTTTATAATTTTCTGAGGTAGTTTCTTAATGAGAACCCCTGAGCATATAGGTGAACTATATCGTGAGCTACTGCTTACAGAAAAATGTGTGATCCTAAGAAGAGCCCTGAGAAGAATAGAAGAAGTTAAGGTCATAGGTTATTGAGTCCAGCATTGTGTTTCCACCAGAGCCAAGTAGTCCCTTGGCTATGTCACTGCTTGCCCTCTAAGCATCATCAATACGGTGTTGCAAATGGTCAGTGACCTGGGCCTCCAGATGGTGCAGCAGCTGGATGAAGAAGCTGACCCTGTCTTGACACCTTGAGCTTGGAGGCCTCAACACCACTGGTAATCCTGTTCCTCCCAACTCTTCTCAGGACAGTCGAGCAGTTCTGGAAGTAGAGAATTGGCTCCATCTACTGGGTGCTGCAAAAAGGCATGCCTTTTCTTCTCCAGCACCCCGGACCCAACTCTGTGATCATGGAATCAGCACAGGGGACTTCCCAGTGGGAGCACACTGCCCCCATCGATCAGGAGGTATGGCATCTCAACGATCTTGCCAGGTGTGTCTATGCAGCCTCCTCGCTGGGATTTAGAGCCTCAATTTACAAGGCAAGTAAGGCCTGCTGCCAGCTCTTCCTGTGGTAAAAGATGGTGGCTATGGCTGAATAACTCCCAGAACAACTCTGGAAGGCTATCTACCTTGTCCATTCTGAGGTGTTGAAGTTGGCCAAGCACCAAATTGAGGCCACCAGGCACCAGGCTCACAGCAACATGAAGGCCATGATGGGGACAGTGGCATCCATTGGCATGTCTGGCCTCTCATAGGAGACTCATATGCGCATTGAAGACCTTCTCTGCAACAGGCACTGAGGAGCGAATGGACTCCATACAAAAGGTGTGCTCCACAGCCCTGTGGATGGGCTTCCACCAATAGCCCACATAGTGTAAGTAGCCAGGGCCTCCACTTGCCACCCACAGACGACCTTACATTGACTGCCTCTTAAGGACACAGGAGGCATGACTTCCAGACCTGCCCTAAGTCACCAGGCCCTGGCGCTGATGGTCCCCCCGGTGGCCCCTATTCACCTGCCCCAACACCAGCTTTGATGGGCACCTTGCTTGCTTCTTCCCTGCATGGGATGCGATCACATCAGACTCATGATCTTGTCTATTGTGGAATGGGACTGTATGATGAAGTTTGATACCCTCCCGTCCCTCAGTACAGTCAACCACCTCCTCCCACCCAACATTGCCCTACTTTCTAAAGAGGCTATAGAGAGGGTCCACCATGACCATGCCGGGGGGTTCTACTCTACCTACTTCACAGTGCCAAAATGAGACAGGGGATCCTCTACCTCAGAAGAGTCAATAGGTTCATCACAGTCAGGAGGCTCAGAGTGATCTCCCTTCAAATCATCCTCCCCTTAACTGTGCCAGGGAGACTGATTTGCTTCCATTGATCTCAAAGGTGCCCATTTCCACATCACTATCAACTATACCTACAGACATTTCCTATGTTTTCAAATCAGAGAGGACACCTTCCAATTCTCCATTCTCTTGTTCAGTCTCTGTTCCATTCCTAGGGTCTTCACTATGTGCATGGTGGTGGTCTGCACCCACCTGTGGCTGCTGGGAGTCCAAGTCTTCCCATATCTCGACAACTGGCTCCTAATTGTTCCTTCTAAGGGAGAACTGTTGCGATGCGTACACAGCACCTGCTTACTCCTACAGAACCTGGTATTAAGTCTCAGTCATCGAAAATGTGTTCTCTCCCCCTCCCAGGCCATTCTGTTAATAGGGGCCTACCTGGACTCAGTGATTGCAAAAGCCCTCCTTCTGTAACCCAGAGCAGCAGCCATGTGTACTCTCACAATGGACATCAGAACACAGGACCACACCATGGCTCATGCGATCCAGAAGCTCCTGAGACTGATGGCCACTACTGTGGCTGTGGTCTGGTTCACCCAGCTTCGCTTGAAACTGCTGCACCTGTGGTTCACCCAAGCCTTCAGTGTGGAGGAAGACCCCTACAATGCCACCCTGAACCCTCCACACCCCGTCTGAGACAGCCTGCTCTGGTGGTTCCCCCTGCAAAACCTCACCATGGGAGCCAGCTTTCTCCCCACAGAACCTACAGTTATCCTCACAGATGCCTCCAACACAGGCTGGGAAACACATTGCAGCCATCTGCACACGCACAGGTTCTGGGACTGCCTTGAGGATCCACATCAACATCCTCAAGATGTTGACCATACTCAAAGCGCTGAATCTCCTTCCAGACCTCTTTCAAGGGTCACCAGGTACAGATTGCCATGGCAACACAATGGCGATATACTACCTCAACAAACACAGAGGAACACGGTTCATCCCATATGCCATGCAGACCATCACCATCTGGAGCTGGTGCATAGCCAGAGACATACCATCACAATGCCACATCCTGCGCAAACGCAACACACCAGCCAATGCCCTCTGCTGAGCCACCCTAGACATGCAGCTCGACAGGATAGTCCTTCAAGATCTCCGTGACAAGTTGGTCCTACCGGAGGTGAAGCTCTTCACCACAACACAGAACACCACAAACCCCCAGTTCTGCTCCCAGGGAGATGCCTGCCTTCTCAAATGGGACTGGACTCTATTCTATACCTTCCCATTTCTTCTGATCACCAAGGTGATTGCCAAGACCCAGGGAGATGGGACAGACTGCATTCTCATCACCTCATCGTGCCCAAGACAGTCAAGGCTCCCCTGTCTCCTCCAGCTCTCCTGGTGGATCCTCATCCACTTGTCGCTCCACAACCTCATGTCACAGGACCAGGGCCACATTCTCCACCTAGACATCAAGATGCTGAACTTCACCGACTGGAGAATCACCCTGTGACATGGGTCTCCTGGGTGTCTGTCATACTGGAAGTGGCCCTTAGACCATTCACCAGGAAATCCTACCTGGCCAAGTGAAATGCCCTTCTGACCTTTGCCCAGTGGGAAGGCCTCAACTCTCACCAGACACATCCATCAGATCCTCACGTTCCTTCAAGCCACCTCAGCAACACCCTTAACAACAACAACACATGTGTATCTAGTGGAACCCACTCATCAAGGGCAGGTTCTGCCCATCAAGGCAACCTCTGTCTTCACACACAACTGTGTGTGAAGGATTCCAGTGAAGGCTCATCCTTTCCCCTCAACCAGGATATCATCCTCCCCACCTTCTTCACTAACCCTTCCACCTCTATAGAGGCCACCCTCCACTTACTTGGCATTTGGAGGACCCTTGCCCTCTATTAGTCAAGAACTGAGCCGCTCTGCCACTTCCCCCAGGCTCTTCATATGCTATGACAGTCAGAAAAAAGGTGACCCCACTTCATCACAGAGAATATCCAAGTAAGTCTCCAGCATCATTGGCCTCACATAAGAGATGGTGGATCTCCACCTCACTTCATGCCTGCAGGCCTATTCCACTCACACTCATGATACATCCAGAGCCTTCCTGGTCGGAGTTCCTCTGCAGGACTTCTGCAAAGCCACCACATAGTCCACACCATCGACATCTGCAAGACACTACTGGTTTGACGTCTGTGTGAGGGAAGACTGCTTCTTTGGCAGAGCAGTAGTCTCCTCCGTCTTCAAGTGACAACAGCCTCCCTCCAGCCTACACAAGAGAAACTTGCTAGTTGCGCCTATGTGTGATGCACAGAGACCACGAAGAAGAAAGGCAGGTTGCTTACCTGCAACTGTTACTCTCCAAGTTGTCATCTGTGCATTCACAGAACCTGCTTTCTGGCCACACTGGTTGTTGTCCACCCAATACTGTTCTCCCTGTACCCTTGGATGCTTGGGGCTAGACCAGGTCAGCACCTCACCTTGCCTGTCTCTAAGTCTGGGGACTCATAGCTGTCTCCATAGGAACTGAGGTAATGGAGGAAAACCTGAGCCCCATACCTCCTAGGAACCAGAAGGGGAGGGGCTCCTACCCAGTCCAGCATGGTCAGCTCTTGAAGTTTTTCCCTATCTAGACATTGCACAGACACACAAAACCTGTATGTGTGAATGCACAGATGACTACTCTATGAATAAGTTACAGGAAAACAACCTGCCTTTCCTGTTACAACATAAGAAAAGCTTTGCTGGATTAGACCAAAGGTCCATCTAGTCCAGCAATTCTGTACATACATTGTTCATGGAATGGAGCGTTCATGGAAAGGAGCTTAGGGTATCATGTTCTGAAGAAAAAGCTATTTGGAAGGGCAGGGCACAAATGTTTAAATACATCACCCCCTGGCCAGTCTCCCAGTCAGTGATGGGTGGAGTCCTGGAAAGCCAGCATGCTTTCTTTTTGGGTATTGTGTTGGGGCAGAGCTAGAAATGAAAAATTCCTAGAAATGTTGATACCAAATTGAAAAAAGTGGTATTTATTCATCTGATCCATACACTAAACTAACCAAAAAAAGCTAAAGTACTTTGTTGCTTTAAGGTAACCTTCCCCCACTAGTGCCTTCCCCATTTTCAGCTTCAGCTCCAGCAGAGCCATTGGTCAGGAATGTTAGGCATCATAGTCCAGAATAATTAGACTCCAGAGGGCACTGGGGCTGGAGGGGTAGCTGCTATAGGGACATGAAACAGCCTTTATGTTCCTATAGTGATGTAACACATGACATTTGCTCATAAATGTGTAATTATATGTAAAATATTAGCAATAAGGAATAAATCTTTAATTTTGTTCAAATGAAATATACTTTAAAAATCAATATACAGACAAGGTAATTTTATGAGCAAAGCATGTTATACATATTTTAAATTCCTATTTTATGTCTGACTAAAGCATGGGCCCACAGGCCAGATCCAGCCCGCCATGCCCATTTATCCAGCCTGCCTCAGAGGGTTTGGACTCGCTGCATGTGCGCAGCGAGGCGCCGGCTTGCTCACACGGAGATCAT